CAGGAGCCAACAGTGGCACCAGGAGGTGCTAGAAATGCTGCTGCACAAGGCAGATGCTCCAGGTGCTTTCAGTTGTCGGTGGCGGCTCCTGGCCTCTCCCAGCACCAAAACCTTGGGAGACTGCAGGTTTCCAGTGGCAGGGAGGGGGACATTGCTTTGTTTGTGGGGAATTGCTTCATCTGGGGAGGATCGCTTTGTCTGGGTCTTCCTGTCAGACACTGGAGCTACAAACTTTCCAGTACACAATGTGTTTGCCAGCAGAGGAAAACCTGCAGACATCGAGAGGTACCACGGCAGGAATGGTGCTGCGTCCACGCCTGCGGAGCCACACTCCATTGCGAGGGGTCCTGCACTGACAGTGTGTCCATCCCTCTCCAGCTCACTGCCACAGCACAGGAAAGGCAGAAGCAGGCTCACCACACACAGGGCACGGCACAGAGCCAAGGCAGCTGCACCAGTCAGCCCCAAGCCCTCCATGGTCCTACAGTTGCGATGCCACTGCCGCACACCGAGACCGTCACCCTCTGCTCACACCAAGTCCTGCCGGCAGCGGTGTCCCAGCTCCAAGCTTTGGCTGTGGGACAGCACAGGTTGCCAGCAAAAAACATGCCACACTTGGAAGAGGCATCTCCTCCTCACGCCGCAGGTTGATGCGGCACAAAGGGTAAAGCTGTTTTTCTCCTTAGCTTTTGCCCCTCCCTTTTCCTGAAGGAGGCAGGAGGGCTGCAGCCCCCAGGGAGGACTGTGGAGCTCTGCCTTGCTGAATGCAACCAGGAGCTGTGGGGCTGACCAAAAAGCGCCCACCTGGCCTCATGTGAGGCCTTGGGTCTCCTCAAAGCTTCCCCTGACCATAGGGAAAAAAAATAAGCCATAGGAAGGGTGAGCAGCAGGGTAGTGAGAGTACCCCCTGGCACTGTGGTCCCACCAAAGGGGTTCTTGCAGAGGTGGGGGATGTTACAAGCAGCAGCCCCCCGGGTGGGAGGGCAGTGCTGGCCACACCTCCCCAGGCACTGCCTGACCAGCTTGGAAGGATTTTCCAGCCGTGGCCGGGCTCAGAAATGGGCACTGATGACCCAAGGCTCTGATGCTATTGACACCTCAACAGCTTCAAGGGGAAGGGAAAAAAAGCCTTAGAAAATGTACAGAAAGAGCCACTGAACTCTATTTTTGGCTTTAGAAACCAACTGAGTTCAGAAATGCCGCTCGTAAATGCCGGCCCCAGCAGAAGGGAGTGTGGACATCCTCCTCCTCCTCCCACCTCCCCTTCAGGACAGACCGAGACCCAGGAAAGGACATCAGCCAGTCAGCCCAGACCATGATCCCTGCTCTCTGGCAAGCCCCTAACCACCCCTCGGTGACGCTCAGTGCCACTGATGCTCCCCATCCCAGACAGTCCCAGGAGCCTCCCATAGGAGGTTCCAAACCCCCTGGCCAGCTACAATCCCCATTACTCCCCACCAGGCAGCGGTCCGAGAGGAGCCAAGCCAGCAGCGAGGCCAGCACGGGAGCAGCTCACGGCAAAGGGGGACCACGTGTTTCCCCACCATTCCGCAAACCCCACGGGGGGTTTCACTCCCCTCACTCTTCCCCCCCACCCAAAAAGAAGTGGGGCGGAGAGTGTGCCTAACCAGTGAGCCCCCCCAACAGCACAGATCCCCACCAAAAACCCCCACGACAGGTCCTGCTACCAGCACAGCTCACGCCAAGGCAAAAACAAAATCAGAATTAAACAAAACGAAAACACGCGAGGCGTTCTGACAAAGGAGCGTTTCGAGGTGTTAATTACGTATTTCTCAAGGCAGGCAGGGGCTGAGCAAATAAAGGGCTGCCGGATTTCGGCGTGACTTCCTGCTGCCGGCAGCTTCCTCTGCCGACGGCGATGAACCCAAAAGACGTTTTCTGCCAGGGATCCCTCTGCCCATCCCACAGCCCCACAGTGCCGTGGGAGCCCCGCGCGCTCCCACCTCACACCTGGAGCGGGGCTCTCCCTGGGAATTTTGTAAAGGGAATAAACAGCCCAACTGGGAGTCATTAGAAGAAATAATAAATTAAAATAACGAAGCGGCTGCCTTGCCCGCAGGCACAGGGCAGGGCTGTGAACGCCCACGGGAGCATCGCTGGGCTGCTTTGAAGAATGCAAGCGGCCCGTTATCAGCACCAAAATCGAGTGTCCGTGGGGCAGAGAGCCCCTGGGCTGTGGGGGTCCTGCCCACCATGGGCAGTGGCTTGAGCTTCCCGCTACCCACAGAAAGGGGAGGTGATGGAGGGGCTCAGGCCTTTCCCAGTGCCCCAGAGGGGGGAAGCACAGGGCAACGGGTGCCTGTTGACCTCATTACCTCCACCACAGCTAACCCGAGGCCAGGGTGAGAAGAGCCCACAGAGGAACTCCCCAGCACAGCCGGGCAGCTGGGGGTCCTGGGCAGGCAGGACAGGGTGCCTGGGCTTGCAGGGCCTTTGCTGGGGGAGGTCCATCCAACAGGAGGGTGAGGATGCCCCTGCCTGTGTCCCGAAGGGTTGTGCCCAGGCTGGACCGGGCTGGGGGAACAGTACAGTAGTGGGGAGGCAGTCACTTCTGGGGGGAACCCCCCAGCCCAGGGTGGGGTGGCACCCACTCCCAAGGGACACCCAAGGCTTGTTGTATGGCAAGCACTCCACTCCCAGGGAGATCCCCAAAGTCTGAAGTGGGGCTGGCATCTTGTTTACACAGGGGTGGGGAAGGCATCCCACCGCAGAGGGGATCCCCAGGGTCTGCTGTGGGGTCAGCACCGCACTCCTGGGGGGATCCCCAAGGCCTGCTGCGGGGCCAGCACCCCACTCGGGGGGGGCGGTGACCCGGAAGCCTGGGGCGGGGCAGGCCCCCCGCTCCCTGGGGGATCCCCGGGGCCCGAGAGGAAGCCGACAGCCCACTGAGCGGGGACCCCGCATCCTGGGCTGGGGCCAGCATCCCACTCATGGGGGATCCCCGGGGCGGGGCGGGGCGGGCACCCCCGGCGCTGGTACCCAGGGTCGCTCCGGGGCAACGCGGGGCGGAGGCGGCGGATCCGCTCGGTTCCAGCAGGACCGGGCCGGGCCGGGCCGGGCGGGGAAGCCAAGTGGGGAGGTGGGGGGTTCCGGGGGGGCGGGCCCCGGGGTGGGGGGGTGTCTCACCGAGCAGCAGCAGCTTCACCTCCCGCGCCGCCTTCTCGCCGTCCTCCCGCAGGTTCTTGTCGATCATGCGGGAGCGCTCGGCGGCCGCCTTGTCCTCGGCGCTCACGGTGCAGCCCATGGCGGCGGCGGCGGCGGCTGCTGCGCGCGCCCGCGGCTCTGCCGGCCCGGCCCGCCCCGACAGGCCCCGCCCCTGCGCGCGCCCGCGGGGGCGGGGCCGGGGGCGGGGCCAGTAGGGCGGGGCGCGGGCGGGGCGGGCCCGAGGGGGCGGGGCCTCGTGCCCGCCGGAGCGCGGGCCCCCGCGTGGCAATGGCGGGAAACGGCGCGGGGGGGACATGGGGACGGGAATTGAGGAGGGACACGGCGTGTGAAGGGACAGGAGTGGGGCAGGACACGGTGTGTGAAGGGACAGGCGGGCACCGGCCACGGCGTGCGACGGGACAGACGTGGCGGGGGTCATGGAGTATGGGTGCTGCATTTTGGGGCTGGGGCCCTTTGGATGCAGAACAATAGGTGCAGCCTTGGGGTCAGCGGTGTGGATGATGCTGTGTCTCAGGGCCACCTTCTGCGGGGACACGGTGTCATGGGGTGGTGGCTCAGACCGTGGGGATCCCCTTGTTCTATCATTGCCCCTGGGGCTCAGCCCTCAGGGACCCACGTGCCACACTGACAGAGGAGGGGGCTCCTCGGTGGGTACCAGGGCTGGGGGTGCCTGTGACAAGGGATGGGGCAGGATGGGACTGGCCTGGATGGGGCATCTGCAGCTCTCTGCCAGAACAGGGGGCACCCCAGGCGCTTGCCCCATCCCCCAGCTCTCACAGCTGCTCCCTTGGGAACTAGACCCCCCATGCCAGCTGAGGAGGTGGGCAGGCTGTGCAAGTTGCCCCACGGGGCTGGCCCATGCCCAGGCAGCCGCCCTCACTCCGTGCCAGCCCTACAGCAGCATATCATGCCTGCCCGGACCCCCCAGCCCCTCCCCACCCCTTCCACTGACACCCACCAAGCAGGGTGGGGACAGCAAAGGATGCTCTATCTCAGAAGAGCAATACCAGGGGAACGGGGGCAGCATGCTCCGTGGGGTCTGCACCCGTGGGCTTGGCGTGGCAGGAGCAGGGCTGTTCCCGTGGGAGCGGGCTGCCGTGCTAATAAGGCTTCACTAACGAGCTGGCGCTGAGCCCGGGCATGGGGCCGGCGGAGAGGAGCAAGGGGCCAGGGCTGGGGGAGCCGGGGGGCTCACCCCCATGCCATGCTGTGCCATGGGCGAGGGCTGAGGGGCTTTGGGCTGGCCCGGGGGGCACTTGGGGCACCCCCTACCCTGGCCCTGGGCACAAGATGCCCCAGCCCCACTTCTACTGCAGCCCTGCTTCCACAGGAGCCCCACTCCCCAGGGATACTAGTGCCACGGCAGTCCCACTTCCTGGGGTTCCTGCTCCCACATGAGTCCTGCTCCCTGGGGGTCCTGCTCCCAAACTTGTCCCACTCGCCAGAGTCTTGCTCCCACACATGCCCCACTGTCCTGGCGGTCCTGCTCTCACAGGTGTCCTGCTCCCCTAGGGTTTTTCTCCCCAGGAGTTCTGTTTCCCCAGTGTTCAATGCCCACGAGGGTCCCATTTCCACAGGGGTCCCTGCGCATCTGTGTCCGTGTATCTGTGCTGTCCTGCTGTACATCCATGCTCTCTGTCCTGCCGAGCATGCACATGCACTAACCCTGCACATCCATGTCCGCATGTCCCTGCTGTCCTCACACACGTCCGTGCATGCGTGTCCATCTGTCCGTGCCACCTCAGGACGCTGTGTGCCGGGTGCCAGCCTGCGTGCCAGCTCCTCGTCTGCCCCAGTGACGCCCGAGACCTGGGCACATTCACATCTTTATTTTCACCACCGGCCTCCTGCCGCCACCAGCACCACCTCCCCCAATAATTTACACGTGTCAAGGATGGCCACAGGGCAGCTGGGCTGGGGACAGGGACACCAGAGCCACGCTGCAGCCGGCAGTTCCCGGGCAGATGGCGAGGGTCCACGACGGTGTCCCCCCTCCCCTCCCCATGTGATACGTACATTATACAGAGCTACCCAGAGCAACACAACACGTTAAAAAAGATCTACTCTTATGTACAGTATTTATAAAAAGCATCCCAGCCTCCACCACCCAATAAAAAAATACATCTCTTATGTACTTTGCTGCAGGACAGACACCCCCCCCCGACCCGTGCTGCCCACCCTGCCAGGCTGCCCTCCATGCTGGGAAGGGAGGCCGGGGGTGGGAGAGCCACCGTCCAGCTTTTGGCATGGTTTGGGGTGTCCCAGCAGCATGGATGGATGGATGGATGGATCGGTGAGGGCTGTGGGGGCCTGGGTGCTGGCCCAGGGTGCAAGGCGAGCAGGGACAGCTGGGTTTGCTGGGGTGCCCATCACCCTGGCGTCTGGGCACGCAGACGGGGTGCCTCCGCAGCCCTGAGCTGGCCCCCCGTGAGCACTGTCCCCAGACCACCCCACACCCCCCTGTGCCCCTCGGGTGGGCCATGCCTCTGGCAGCCAAGCTGCAGCAAGGGCAGGATGCCAGTGGGCACCAAGCCCCTGGCGTGCGTGTCACCTCCCCAGAGCAATGCAGCCAGTCCCCAAACATGGCCTAGGGGTCAGCAGGGTCCCATCAGCAGGCACCAGGAGCCCAGCAGGCTCAAGAGCAGAGGGCTGGGTACCACCAGCCACAGCAGCAGGACCACCCTTGCCCACGGGGACTGGAGTACACAAATGATGCCAGGGCAGTGGGGTGGCATCTTTCTGGGGACTGGGGGACAGCAGAAGGAGGGGGTGGGTGGCTTGGGCACAGGTGCTGTCACAGATCTGACTGCCCTGATAGATTCCAGCCACCAGGGACACTGTTCATCAGGGCTCTTGATGCTGTCGGGGGGGTGTGGGGGGGGTGGGAGTTGTTGGGGGGGGCCGGGAAAGTGTCCCCAGTCCTCGGTCCCCATGGCGGACAGTGCCCCACGCCCCTGGCAGTGCCTGCTGCTGGCGGCTCTGGGGGTGCAGAGACGAGCCCCACCTGACAGCCAGCTCCGGGTGAGGTAGGGCAGTATTATTGTCCCCATTTTACGGATGGGGAAACTGAGGCGTGGAGCAGGGAGAGTACCCGCTGGAGTGGCTGGGGGGCATAGGACCTGCCCCAGGCTCACTGCCCCATCCCAGGCACAGGTCAAGGAGTCCCCATGCCTGCCATGGCTCATGCCCCCTCACCACCACCAGAGGTGATGGGCAGAATTCCCCAGGGAATCCCAGTGTGGCTGCAGCATGGGGGCTGAGCCCGGGGCTGGCTCTCCCTGGGGCACCGGTGGAGGGGGTTGGCATGGGCACCCGGTGCTGGCTAGTGGCTGCCGCCGCTCTTGCCCCCACCCGTGGCCCAGTCGATGATGATGAAGCTCAAGCTCATGATCATGAAGACCACCCCAAGGAGGGCGAAGCAGGCAGCCTGTGGGGACAAGGAAGGGGCTCAGGGACAGCCAGGGTGATGGGGTTCCCAGCCAGCCTCAGAACCCCCGTCCCCATCCCCATCCTTGTACCCTCTGCCCACACTTACCAATATTTTGGGGGTGGAGCGCAGCGGCTCCTTGTCCTTGGGCATGATGCGGATGTAGAAGATGGCGGGGAAGATGAAGATGAGGCAGGGAGCAGAGGTGGCACCTGGAGCAGACAGGGACAGAGTGGGCAGGGGCCTCCCACGCCGTGGCTCAGCCTTGCCAGCCCCACTGCCAGGCCAGGTCTTGTTCCCCCCCGTTCCCCCCCCTCACCCCCCTCCCAGGCCTGGCAAAGCCTTCCAGGAACCCAGGGACTCGGTGTGCTGGCACTGTCCCCACCCCCCTCCTGCAGCCAGGGCCTTGGCACGGAGCTGAGCGCCGAGAGGGGGGAGCCGGGCTGGGGGGATCGAGGGAAACACACAGGGGAAGAGAAAGTGCTGCCACTGCACTGCAGGAACCAGCCTTCCAGGATGAGGATGGGATGGGGGATTCCCCATACACCAGCTGGTCCTGGCATGATGGGAAGGGGAAAGTGAGGCACAGGGGGGTCAGACAAAGCCAAGCGCCAGCCAGGACAGCGGCTGGTGTGCTGCTGCAATACCCCTGCCCAAGGGGGGACAGGGGACACTGCCACCTACCAATCAAGCCGAAGATGCCAAGAATGGAGGGGGCAAAGATGACCAGGAGGTTGATGAAGGTCAGCAGGACCACTGCAATGATGATGTGGCGGATCCAGCTGAAGTCTTTCCCTTGGAACAGCATCTGCTGGATGGCCCGGCGCACCTGGGGACAGGGACAGGGTGTCACACTCCATCCTTGGAGCCAAGGTCCATCCCATCCCCTGTCATTGCAATCCTGCTGGTCACCATCACCCCTTCCCCTGCCCAAGCCCTGACCCTCATGCCCCATTGGTCCCCATCACCCATCTCTCTGCCCCAGCCCTGTTCCTGGCACCCAGCACGTCCTGTTCCCCAATTCCTGTCCTCTTTGCTGCCTCAGTTTCCCCTCTCAAAGCCTGGTGCTGAAGCCACCTGGCATTCCTGCAGGGCCACTCACCGGGAAGAGGACGATGGGGACAGTGAGAGTGACAGCTGTCAGCACAGCCACCCGCACACACAGGATGAGCACGTCAAAGGGGTCCACTTTGTTGTACGTGTGCAGCAGTTCTGACTCCACACGGCCTGCAGACACCAGTGGGGAGCTGCTGGGTGAGACCCAGCACCACCACCCCCCTGGCACCACGTGCCAGCAGGGCACCCAGCCCCCTCCCTGAGGGCTCACCATAAAATGTGAGGTAGCCGAAGAGGGCAGCCAAGAAGTACATGATGTACATGACCGTGATGGAGATGTTGGAGATGCACTGCATCTTCTTCTTGGAGGGGCTGTGGGAGACGGCGGGCTCAGCACAGCCCCCTGGCACCCCCTGACACCGAGCACCCACCCAACAAGGAGGGGTGTCGCCAGAGCACCTTGGGGTGTGTGAGGGCTGTGCGGAGAAGGGCTGCACTCCCCTTCCTGGGCTGTGTGGTGTGTTGGATCACCCACCACCAGTCACCCACCCACCCACCCATCTCGGGTCACAACACCCACCTCAAAGGGGTCATACCACCCACCACCCATTCCATGTCGCATCACCCACCTCCCAGGGGTGATACCACTTACCACCACCCACCCACCCTGGGCCATAACACCTACCTCCCAAGGGTCATACCACCCAACCTGGGGCATGGCACCCACTTCTTAGGGGTCGTATCACCCAGCAGCCATCCTGACCCACATCACCCACCCCCCAGGGATGATACCACCTAAGCCGGGTTATATCATCAATCTCCCAGGGGTGATATCACCCACCATCCACCTGCTCACCCATCCCAGGTCCTGTCACCCACCACCCCCGCCCACCCGCCCAGGGTCATATCACCCACCTCCCCACGATGCCCCGGCGCAGGTCCCACACACGGACGGTACTGCCTTTGGGTGGGCACCGGACGAAGCCCACCCCTCCCCGTGGGTGCCCCCACCCAGGACTCACTCCTTCAGCTCGGTGTAGATGGGCAGGACCTCGGGGTGGCAGACGAAGGCGAAGGCCATGATGGGGATGGTGTACGCTGTCTGTGCAAGAGGAAGGCGACTGACTGCTGGGTGCCAAGTGCCAGCACCAGGACCACCTGTCTTCATGGAGTGCACAGGGAGGGGGCTCACCCAGAGCCTCAGGGGACCTTACCTGGGAGTTCAGGGTGAAGAAGCTGGGGCTGCAGGTGTCCTGCTCAGGGGCCTGGAGGACAGTGTAGCCATTCTGGTAGTCACTAGTGCTGACAGAAGTGATGTTGAGGATGCCTGTAAGGTTCCCCTCCTGCTCAGGGAGTGGGCAGGGGATCTGGAACTTCTTGTAGATGACCTGGGGTAGAGGGCACATGGGAATGGTCAGCTCTTGATGCCACCAACTCCCAGTACCCAATACCCAAGCCAGCACAATGCCCAGCAGGAGGGTGCCAGTGCCCCTGCTGGGACCCCTCTATGGGGCATCCTTTGCTGGCGTTGCCCCATGGCAATGCTGGTTCCCCCCTGCCTGCCCCTGTGAGGGTGGGCAGCAGGGCAGAGCAGGGCAGCGGCACGTGGAGGGGCCACATGTGTGATTTTCCCCCCCGGCACCCTCTCCCTCTCCCTTTCCATGACACTCAGTTCCTTCAGCCGAAAATAACCCAGCAGCTTGACAGCACCGCCACAGCGTCTCTGCAGCCCCGAGCGCCCGCTGTCCCTGCTGTCTCCACTGTCCCCACAGCAACCAGTCTGGCTGCACCTCCCTGCAGGAGGGATGCTTGGCACCCCAAGGCGCCGGCACGTGCCAGCGGGTGCTCACCGAGATGAGGAAGAAGACCATACAGCTGAGGGAGAAGCCACTGGCGTAGCCAAGGTAGCCTAAGGAGGAAGGAGAGTGGCCGGTGGGTACAGGCAGGACCCTCACACTGCCTAGGTACCCCCTCCATTCCCAGCACGTCCAGGCTGGCACTGCAATCCAGCAAGGGACCCAGGGTGCCAGACCATGGGGTGGCATCCCTCTGACTTACCCAGCTGCTTCATGAGGGCCAGGGGCAGGATAACGGTGACAGAAACCAGGATCACCAGGTAGTTCCCATTCATGTACCAATCCCTGTAAGTAGAGGGCCTGTTCAACACCCCACTCTGCTGGGGCAACGGAGGCAGAGGCAGCCACTGCAGGGGCTGTCTGCCATTTGTAGGGTCCCTGAAGCTGGCAAACCCCAGGGGTACTGGTGTCCCCTAAGGCTGATATCCCTGCTGTGCTAACATCCCTGGGGACCCCTGAGATGGCATCCTTAAGGACCCCTGAGGGCAGCATGCCTGAGGGCCCTTCAGCTGGGTCCTGCCTACCCCCACAGTGGTACCCCCCCAAGGACTAGAGCTACTGGTGTGGATGTGGGCATGGGGTAGGGGGACCTATTCCTAACCAGGGCTCCTGTCCCCCACCCCACAGCCCCAGGTTCTGCTCAAGGAGGAAAGCCTGATCCCAAGGGGATGTGAGGAGCGGGGATTGGAAGTTCAGCTCAGTTTAATCTCACCCAGGGGCTTATTCAGCACTGACAGTTATCAAAAATAGTAGTGGCTTAATGATAGTAAATCCCTGCCATGGGCTGCACAGCTGGAGCCGGAGCGCCGGCGCCTGTCCGGGGAAGGCACGCAGGCAGCGTGGGCAGGAGGCACTCACGTGGTCTTCTCCTCCAGGTTGAGGAAGGTCTGGATGACCAGAGGCACTTCGGATTTGACAATGTACAGGTAGCTGGACATGGCTGCAGGGCAGAGCAAGGTCGTACTGTTCTGGTGTGCTCTGGTCCCATCCATCCCTCATTCCCAGCCTCAACAGGTCTCCCCAGCCTCAACAGGTCTCCCCAGCCCCATCCTCACCTCCAATGTTCTGCAGCGTGATGGCAATGGCTGCTGCCAGCTTCCCTGGCGTGCCAAAGGCTCGGTAGCCCAGCTGCTCATAGGCGCGTATGCCTGTGGGATGGGGAGCAGTGGTGGGGTGAGGGTCAGGATGGGACCCCCTGGCACAGCCCTGCCAAGGACCTGGCACTCACCTACAATGCCCGAGGACTTGAGCAGCAGATGGATGGAGTAGCTGGAGAGCAGGGCCACCGCTGTCAGGAGGAAGCTGCAGGAGGACAGCACAGTCACCAGTGGGTCACAGCACAGGGCTCAGACACAGCTGTGGAGCAAACTCTGCACAGACAGGTTCTGCCTGTGGGCAGCTGTCCTGGCAGGACACCAGCCCCTCACCGGGTGGGTGCTCACAGGGCAGACAGGCTGTAGGGTGCAGGGACCTTGTGACCCACATCTCCATGCCCAATGGAGCTGGCACTCACATCCTTTGGGTCACTTGTGGAAATCTGAACTTGTAGTAAGAAAGCAAACCTTTACCCTTCTCCTCTGCGTCCCCAGTGGGTCACAGCACCCAACAGGGCAGGCAGGCTCATGCCAGCAATGGGCATTGCTCAGCCAGCAGGACACTGGTCCCTGCATCACCTCAAGTCAGAGACTTCTTTCTTTCCTGCACCCACAGACCCCCATGGGCATTGCTCAGCCAGCAGGACACTGGTCCCTGCATCACCTCAAGTCAGAGACTTCTTTCTTTCCTGCACCCACAGACCCCCCCAGACCCCCATGGCACTCACAGGAAGAGGATGATGCCGGTGTTGGCCATGGCATAGGCCAGCCCCAGGATGCCACTGCCCATGATGGCATTGCTCAGGTTGAAGACAGACATCCCAAAAGACGTCTTCCCTTCGAACTGTTCACAGGACATAACAAGGAGGGGATGCACCAGTCCACTGGGAACCAGCCCCATCCCATCCCCACCACCGTGCCCGTGCCAGTACTCACATCAGTGAAGTGCGTTTGCTTCTTCTCAGCACCATGGGGCAGGAACTCCTCCATCTCTGCCACGCCAGTCTGGTTCTCCTCAAATCTGGCCACGGAGGAAGGGGGTGAAGCCAAAGCAGAGCCAGGGGCCATCAGCACTGGCTGGTACTGCAAGGGCAGGGAGCAGCTGGGAGGACCTCCCCAAGTCCCTGGCACTCCTGCTTGCCCCGGGGTCCCTACCTGTCACCCGCCAGCGAGGGGAGAGCAGAGGCGCTGAGCGTGGCCGTGTGCTTCCCATTGGGCACCAGCTCCACCATCTCGGCCTGGAGGGGCACGTCCGTGGTATCCATGGTTGGGAGACAGCTGGGCTCGGTGTGGGCTCTCCTCGGGCTCTGCAAGAGGGGGTCAACAGAGGTCCAGCTCTGGGTAGGAGCACCAGAGGGGCTGGCCTAAAGTCTCACAAGCCCTGCATCCACCAATGACACTGGAGCTGGGCTCAGCACCAGCGCTGGTGGCATTACAGGGACAGGTACCTGGTGATGAGAGGGTCACCCAGCCAGGCATCACCATGTCTGGGCTTCTCCCTTTTGCCCACTCAGTGCACAATGCCCCATGGGGTTCTGCCCCAGTTCCAACACCTACACTGGTGTCCCAAGAGGGGACAGTCCCCTCGCCTGGCCAGCCGTCCCGCAGCCCACCCCACCTCCTTGCCCGCACCACGGTGCTGCCCAGCCCCAGAGCCCCCATCCCCGCCGCCTGCCCACCTCTGCTGCCCTGCCCGCAGCTCCCGGCTCCGTGCCTCAGTTTCCCCTCCTGAAGACGGGCGCCGACAGGCGAGCAGGGCTGTTTGAGGGGGTGGCTGAGGACGGGGTGGGGAGCTTGGGGACCCCCAGCCACCACTGTTATGTGAAGCCCGTGGTGCTGCCCGGCTCGAAGGGCTCACCCGCGTCCCGCCGCTGCCGGGGTGCCAAGGCGGGGGGCTCGAGGGCACGTCAGGGCTGGACAAACGGAGCAGGAAAGAGCGCGGGGCCGGGAGACAGCTCCTTGGCAGGGGAAAGCGGCCGGGCTGCCGAGCGCGGGACGCCTTGGCACGCCGCACAAAGCCGCCTCTGTGCAAGCCCCGGCCCTCCCCGCCCCGCTGGGAAACGGCACAGGGTGGCTTTCTGGGGCAGGCTGGCAGCCGGGGCAGGGTCCCGCCACCCCCCGCCGCCCCGGGGGGCTGGGGTCCTGTCCGGCTGGCCAGGGGGCTCCTTGTTGGGGCTGCATCCGGCCAAAAGACGATGCCACCCACCTGGAAGTGAGGGCTGGCCGGGATGCAGTCTGGTGCCCAACCCCGGGAGGATGCTGCTGCCCCGTCCCCCCGGTGACTGGGGTCTCCATGGGGTGAGCAGGGGACATGCTCATCTTTATGTTTGCAGGGGATTGGTGTCCCTAGAGACCAGAGGAGCCTTTCCACAGCACAGTCAGGTACAGCCATCCTCCCGGCACGCAAGTGAAGGATGACACGGCAGGGTGTGGGTGCCAGTACCTCCGGTCTCCTGAGCTGCTGCCCTGCCTCTCCCTGCCTATCCAGGCCACAAAGGCGACCTGGCAGGGTCATCCCAGGCCACACAACAACTGGCACTGTCAGGTGGGCTGAGCCCATAAGGTTGGCCCAAGATGGGGGGCACATGTCTGGGCCACCCTGCCTACAGCACTGAGCCAGGTGGGGAAACTGAGGCAGAACACAGGCCAGCAGGGATCAGAATGGGAAGGCTCAGACATGCGGGGGATGAGAGGGAAGCGCAGGGCGGGCTCTGGGCGATGATTTATCCCCTCCACTAGGCCTCCGCTTGGGACGGATCCAGGCACAAACAAGGCTGCCAGCACGTCCAAACGCCACCGTTAACTCTGCGCCTTCCCACTGCCATGGGCAGGCAACACCAAACCCACCACTCCTGGTGTGGGATCAAGGGGGACCACCAGATCCCTGATGCTCCAGCAGGTCCCTAAGCCCCCCAGTGCCACCGTGCTGCCTGCGGTCAGGGCTCACCACATCCCACCAGTGGCAGGCAGGAGCTGCCCGCTCCCCTGCCCGCTCCCCCACGGGCGCCAGGAAGGCTGGGCACTCTCCTCTGCAGACCCTTTCTTCTCCCAGGTTATAATTACACCTCTCTGGGCAGCTCAGGAAATACCAACTTCTTCCCCCAAGCGTCTCTCGGAATAGCAAGCGGCAGGGCCGGGCTCATTCAGCATGCACCAGGCTTCGTGCTGCCACCCAGACGCTTCCTCCCGCCAGGCAGCCCTGGCACAGCCCTGGCACAGCCCTGGCACAGCCACGGCACCACTTGCTACCACCTCCCCAGCTGGCCCTGGCCTTTGCCCCTCAGCCAGGGTCTCCTGGTGGCAGTGGCCAGGGCAGGGGGGGAGATGAAAGGGGAGGGTGCGGAAGACGCTTCGATCGGGCAGCGCATGCCCTGCCTGCCGCTGTTTGCCTTGTGATAAGGCTGGGCAGAACAACAAATACAGAGTGGCGGGTGGCCCTGAGGGGGTGGCGTGGGTCCCCCTGGGCTGGGGGGGGGTGTTTTCACCTTTCTCACTGTGTGCCCACCTCAGCTGGGGACCCTCTGCTCCAGGCAAAGAGCATCTCCCCAGGGATCAGTTCCCTTAGGGTGCCACCACACAGATGAGGTGCTGCCATCTTCTCTGCCACATTGGGCAGCCCATGTGCTGCCTGGCGTCATCCCCCTCCTGACCAGCAGCCCCAGCACCCACTCGCCCAGCCTGATGGTGTGGTCCTGGCCACGTGCACGGGCACAGAACCCCCCCCAGCTGCAGCACCCAGGGCCGTGTTCCTGGGGGTGCTGAGCAAGCTGCATCGATTTCCCGGCTTGCACCTCCCCACTGGCTGCCAGCGCTGGGTGACAACGACAGGGACAGCCCCACTGCAGACAGACCTCCCACCTCTCACAGACTGCTCCTGCTGTCCCACTGTCGTGGCCAGGCAGCCCGAGCCAGGCTCTGGTGCCGTCCCGCAGCCCCCACAGACGGAACACGGAGCTGGATGCATGTGGCAGCACGTACCCTCCTGCTGGCCACGTCTGCACACCAGGGGAAGCTATGTTAGGTCTCGCACGCCGCATCCCAGCCAGCACAGACGCCTGCCCTCCCTCGCTGGGATAGGGACGACGTGTTTAGGGCGGCAGGGTTCCCAGATCCCTGCCCTGCCTTGGCAGGAGGGCAGTCCTAGACTCACCCCAGCCCCCTGCCAGCCCTCCTCGGGGACCAGGGCACCATGGTGGGGTTCTGGTCCTGGAAGGGGCTGCATCCCTCTGCCACAAAGACTTTATTTAAAAGGTGGAAAATCCCATCTGGGAGCAAGGCACAGGCAGGAGCAGGGGGCTGGGGTTGGGGAGCTCTGCCAGTAATGCCAGCAGACAATGTCGGACGGCGGTCCATTGCATCTGGCAATGTGTCCAGGAGGACAGGTACCATCCTGGGAAAGCCTGGATCTTGCACTGTGCTGGTTACCCTGGTCAAGCCTCGGCATGGCACAGTCCCTACCAGCACATGCTGTGCCAGTGGGAGTATGGCACGCATAGAGAAAGGCAGCCAGTGCCTGCCAGCCTGCACCAGGCAGCACCAGCCTGGGGGCCACCACCCACTGCGTCCCCCCAGCCCACGTCACCCACCTGGGAGCACCCACTTGCTCCCAAACACGGGGAATGAAGGTTTCTGTGGCAGCAGGTGAGCGCTGCCCCAGGCCAGGGACCCCCACAGGGCAGAGACCCCCCTCCCCATCTTCTCTCCCTCTGCAGATGAATCCTCACTAATCCGGCCCATCTGGGGCCGTGGGACTATTCCGGGTGGTAATCCGGCTTTAGCACCAAGCCTGCCGCAGCTGCCGGCCTGCGTGATGGCAGCCAGGTATCCCGCTGCCTCCGGTGTGTGCCAGGGGCACAGTAGCCCCCCCGCCCATGCCCGCCTGCCCAGGTGGCCGTTCGGGTTTCAACGGAGCTGGACACACAGGTCTCATGTTCCCTGGGGCTGTGCTGGTGACAGAACGTGCCCAGAGAGACGGGCAGTGTGGGCAACTGGGCAGGGATGCCACTTGTGTCCCCCCAGTGCCATCAGCCCCGGGCCCAGGGTTACCCCCAGCACCACCACAGGGCATGGGGTGACCGTCAGCCTGGGGTCCCTGGTCAGCCTCCAGCACTGCTGTGGGCGTGGGGATGTGTGGGCACAGGGGCAGATCTGGGGCAACAGTCCAAACCTCAGGGGTCCCTGGGCAACATCTCCCCAGGAAAGCTGACCCCAGCAGAGCACACAGCAGAGAACCCCCTATCCCATTGCCCCTTCACAGACAACATTCTGAGGCAGCCTTGCCAGCAAGGTCTGCTCTTCCCCGAAACACGCACAGCTGTGGCTTTCCCCACAACCTGCCTTCCTAAAATTAGCACCTCAAACCTGGTTTTAACCTATGGCATTCCCCTCCTCCATCTCCCAGCCAAGAATAGGCAGTCTCATGGTCCCATGTCTCCCAGGGGAAGCAGCCACTCGAAGGGGCAAATCCAGCTGTTCAGGGGATGGTCAGGCACCTCACCTTTGGGGTAAGGGCTCTGGGGGTAACCCCATGGGCATGGGGACCCCAGCAGCTGTAGGGAGGGACAATTGGAGACAATCTGCCTGGTGCGCGGCTGGAGAGCCCCTCTGGGTTGCTCTGCTGTAGTCCCTCCCCAAAGAGATCTGCTGGAGACCCTCCTGAGATAGCCCCACCAGAGCTCCTCAGGAGATGACAGCCCCACCACTCAGTCATGCCAGCCTGCCCCACTCATGCTCCCAGCACAAGCTGGGCAAAGTGGGCGCTGCTCCTGGGCTCCCCTCACCCCAGGGCTACCTGGGCTTTCAAACCCAAATACCACACCATGGCTCAGGCAATGCCCCCCGTGCTGCAGCCAGGGCAGAATTGGTAGTAACAAGAAGGATCAAGTGGCTCTGGAAGCTGTTGTCCTGGCTAACAGGGCTCTGGCAGCACCAACACCTGCACGGGCAGTTCTGGGCCATCTCTGCCTCATCATGCTGACAGCAGTGCCCATCCAGGGTCTTCCCTCAAAGAGCACAAGTGGCACCCATGTCCTGGGGGACAGCTCTGCCTGAGCCTGGGAATATGCCTGCAGACAGAACGTGCCGACAGCTGAGCTGGCCCGTGGCCACTGTCCCAAAGCAACAGACGTGCTGGGGTCTGGGACACATCAGGAAGGGGAAGGGCAGTGCAGGGAAGGGGGTGGTAGAGCCAAACATCATGGTGGGGCCACGGGGTGCGTTTTCCAGCACCAGAGCCATGGTGTGGCTCAGCCACGGCATCCCCTGCCAGGCGCACACCCCAAGATGGGGCCGTGGTGCAGGTATCGGCCACCACGTCCCCACCACGTCCTCCCACATCCAAGTACCAGTACCGAGGCAACCTGGGAAGAGCAGTGGGGAAGCTGAGGCCAGGCAAGCATTGCAGTGTCCAGCACTGAGACAGCCCAGGTTGTTGCTGACACAGGCCGGCTTGAGTCTGTGTGGTACAAGGTCAGGCAGCAGAGGCGGCTGACAGCGTGGGCACAGGGACAGGGTGGGCACAGCACAAAGCTAGTGGCACCCAGTGTGGCTCTATGGAAGGCTGGGTGAGATGCCAGCTTGAGCCCAAAACATCTCTGGCAGTTCTAGGCTATGTGACAGGTTTTGCTTTAAACTTAAAACACTGCCCGTCAGGAGCACACGGTCATCCAGGGAGGATGGTGGCACAGGTGGTGGTACTGCAGGGACTGATGGGCAGGTAATGCCTGTAAAAGAACATGTCAGGTTTTCTATCGCACCTCTGGAGATGCATTTTGCCTTGAAAGCGAGGTGCTTTCCAGGAGTTCCCACTCCCCAAAACACACCTGTCCCTGGCAGGATGACACTGAGTTGTCAGTGGCAAAATATCCAAGCTGCCATTTGCTGCAGTCAGCACTGGGGTCACAGGAGGGACTGGCCTCAGCCACAGCACCATGTGCCCCCAGCACCCCCAGCACATCCCCCTGTCCTAACCAGGGGCCATGATCTGCCCAAGCCCCATGGTACCACCTCTGTCCCTGCCTGTGCCACTCTCACCACTGGAACACCCTGCCAGCCTGGCATCTGCTTCATGGGGACACCAGGACTGGGCTGGCTGTGCCCTGCTGGCATGGGGGACCCATCCAGCCCCAGACCTGCGTCAGCAGCTGGGGAGGCACGGGGCGGCTGAGACCCACGCAGTGAGGAGAGCTGGGGACATGGGGGGCCCATCCTGTCCCTGACCCGCCTCTGTTTTCTCAAGGGCTGCACTTCCAAAGGAGCCCGTGGGATCCCGCTCCTTCCCCCCGTCCCCATGTGCCAAGGAAAATAGGCTCTGCCGATGCCTGTTTGTTTGCCGTGGCTGCAGCCCCGGCGTGTGATTACAGCTGCAGCACGGCCGGGTGCTGCGGGGCCCTTTGCGCCTCAGCCAGGGTCCCCCGCAGTGCCGGCACCCCCCCATGCCACCCACGGGTGGGCTGGGGTGTCCCACTGCCCCCCCAGCACCCCTGGCCACCGGAGCCAGGCCACACCAGTGCTTTGTTCTGGGAGACAGGTCAGTGTCACAGGGCACAGAGGGCTTTCTCTGGGGTACCCCCATAAAGCCACAGGGAGGCCAGCAGCAGGAACCAGGCAGGTCTAACAGCTCACCTTGGGCCTGATCCAAACACCAGTGGAAAATTCCCCATCTCCTCCGTGGCAGCTCAGCACAGTCATGCCCTCCGCAGCCAGCCGGGGCTCTGCTTCCCCTCCATCCCACCTGTTGGGGACTTGCCAGGTCCCCTGTCTCACCTGTGACACTATAGAGCTAGCCCAGCTCGGGGAACCCAAGTCCAGCAGCCACCTGCTGTGCCTCAGTTTCCCATGGGGAACACTTCTCTCCAGTGGGACCTTCAAAGCTGCCCTGGCAGAGCGGGCCACCACACCGGCTGGCACGGGACACGCGTGGCCAGCAGGAACGCAATGTGCTGCCTGGCTTTCCACGCCGCTGTCCGGGGCAGCCAGGCTCTATAAATACCACAGCCTGTGGGATCTCCGCACGCAGGACCCGGCCAGCCCCAGCAGTGCCCGTGACGGCCAGCATCACTCTCCCTGCCCGTGCCCCCCGCTCCGGCACCCCATCACCCTGACACCCGATCCCGGCGGCAGCCGATTCCAGCCTTCAGAAACATATGTCATTCCCACGGGCGATTAAAAATTAAAGCAGAACAAAAGGAAAGTAAAGGGAGTTTGAGGCTGGTGTCACTATGAGTATCAGCAGAGCAAGCGGCCACGCCGAAGCCCCCCGCACCACGACCCGGGCAGGGGCTGAGCCAGAGCGCTGGAGTACCCAGGTGGAACGGCAGAGCTCTGCCTCCCCCTGCTCTCGCGGGATATGTCACCCACCCGTGGGAAGGTGCCAGGCGCTAAGGAGGGAAGTAGCAGGAGGACAGAAAAGCAAACAGCCCCGGGGCGCTGCCACCTGCCAGGACTGCCGAGCCCCGGAGTCTCCCCCTTGCTGCTCGGCGCCGGGAGGAGGAGGAGGAAGAGGAGAGACAGCCGGGCTGCGGGAGGAAAGCCGCCGGCGAAGCGCGATAGGTCAGGGAGGGCTCGATGGCGTGCGGAGTAGAAAACGGGGAGGTGAGGGGTCCGAGCGCCCGGCAGCCTCCAGACACGGAGCTTCCCGGAGGACAAGTCAGCGAGCCCAGGGGTGCGAGCACCGGGGGAGACCGGAGGGACCTACCTGCCCCCTCTCCGCGGTGCCTTTGCTGCGGGCTGGGGCGAGCAGCCCCCGGTGGCCGGTGTCGCGGATTAGAGACTATCCTACGACCGTAATCCCGGCGGAGCCGGAGATTAAACCGGAGCCGGGCCCGCCCCCAGCGCGGCTCCCAATCTCCGCTTCGCCGGGACAGCGTCAGGGGCAGTGCCGGGGAGGGACCGGCCGCGGGGGGAGCGACCGCCCCACGCCGACCGGCCCCTGCCCCGCCCCTCCCCGGAGGGACCATCGCCCCTCGGGCATCGCCGCCCACCGGGCATTGGTGTCTCACGAGACATGGCTGACCGCCGGGCATCACCCCCTCACCGGGCATCATCCCCTCACCAGACATCAGTGTCCCACTGGGCATCACCCCCTGCACCCCCCCAGACACTCATCATCCCCCACCGAGCATCAGTGTCCCACCAGGCAGCGCTGCCCCACCTGGAATCGGTACCTCACCAAGCATCCCCACTCCACTGCACATGGCCATCCCACTTGGTATTGGTGCCCCTCCAGGCATGGTCACTCCATCGGACATCCCTACCCAGAGCAGACAGGGCTGCTGCTAGAGGCCAGTGGCTGCTCTCCAAACTACAGGGCAGGGGCAGTTGCTCTAATCTAACCTGAAAGGGTAGTTCCAGCATGTGCCGAGTGCTGGCACTGGGTTTTCTCCCATCTTAGGCAGGGGCGGGGTCACCCAGCAGGGGCAAGGTCACCCAGCAGCAACCTCCCCCAGCCAGATTCTCCCCCTGGCTTGAGAAGCTCAAGCTGCTCCCACGTTAAACCAGCCCAGCTGGCTGCCATGCTCAGGGTGCCTGCCCCGCTCAGGGTGCCTGCCCCAGCACCTCAGAACACTAGGAGCAAACAATCCATGTGGGATCATCTCAACATGACCCAGAGTGAGTGGGACAGTCTGATCCCCTCCTCCAGTCTCCATCAAACTTCCCCACTTGAGCTGAAACACCTCTTTTTCCTGGAGACACACTGTTGGAGTCTATCCCCATGAAAGTACCATAAAGAGGAAATTTCTTCTCCCAAGTGCATCCTGTACACTTCAGGGAGAGCCAGGAGCTCGTGGTCAGTCACCAGCCATATCCCCAAAGATTCCTTGCCCCTTTCCAAGGGCTGTCCCCCCTAAACTACCTCCTGCTCATCTGCCCTGCCTGGCTTTTACTTCAGAGGAAAATCTTGGAGGTCCATGCTTGGGGGTCCACCCATCTCCTATGCTGAGCCATGAGCCCTGCCCAGCTCATTGGCAGGATGGCTCTGCTCAGTGCTGGAAGGTTTTATTTGTGTTATGCATATCTTTCATAAATCCTTGCGAAGCCTTGGGCAGCCTGGGACGGAAATGGCTTTGCCAGGCAGCAGCGAGCATCGCCATCGGGATGAAACGTCCCCTTGCAGCGGCGGCACTCTCTCACCTGGACATCGAGGGATGTTAAATATTCAGTGGCAGCTGTGCCCTCACGCTCCCGGCAATCCCGCGGCTCCTGTTACTGCCGCTCTCCCTTGGCTGGATACATACATCCATTAACTAATTTCTAATAACAGCAGCATGCGTAAGTGCTGAACCAGCGCTGGCTGGCACGCCGGGGGAGTGGAGACAGCCAGATTTGGCAGTGTGACGGGGAGCCGGAGGCACCCAGAGGATGGGCACGGTTGGCCTCAAGCCACCAGCTTAACCCTTCCTCTGCCCTGGCAAAGGCGGGAGCAGCCACGTGGCACCGGTGCAGAGACATCGCAGGACGGGCGGCAACACACCTTGCCGAGGTTGTAAAGTGAGAACAAGAGCTTCCACCCTGTAAGCAAACACAGCACAGGTGCTGGGGATGGGGACAGTATGGCCCCATGGCACAGGGTGCAGTGCCTGTCATGGGGTGGGCATGCTGGAGGACCAGGGTGTGGGCAGTGACTTGGAGGCTGTCTGCTCCTTCCCAGCCTCCAAATGCCTTTCCCTTCTCCTGTTGGCACAAATGCAGCCATATCTCCTTTTTATCATCCCCTCTCTTGTCCAGCGTGTGACACCACTCTCCAGTGTTTCTGCTCTCCAGGTGGGTGGGGGAGATGGGCTCCTCTGTGCCCAGAGGAAGCTTTGCAGAAAATCAAAGCAGTGAGAAGAGGAGGAAAAGGGAGCGAAGATGTCCCCAAACCTCCCAGAGCCTGTCCCAGTGTCCCCACAGCTGGCACACAGCAGCTCCAGCCTCATGCCAGGCTGGCCATGCAAAGGGGAGCCATGCAAGGGGAAGGGCTAAGACCCTTCTCTTGAACCCTTGAACTGACTGCCAGTTCTTCCCAGGCCATTTCACCGATGGCTCTGGTGGTGTCAGGGCTGTGCCTGGGCTCCAGTGGATTGCAAAACCATGCGGTTTTCTCCAGCTGTCTGGAAAGTTTGACGCGGGATTCCCGGATGTGAGGAGCCTTCAGGGGAGCCCGGCACAGCACGGCTCATCTCACCAGCAACATCCTGCCTCACCAGTGGCAGGGAGCTGAGCACTGTGCCAGAGCTGTCTCCCACAGCCAACCTCTGTGGGGTTTACTTTCTCACCATTTCCCCCAGCCAAAAGCCGCCCTATTTTTCGTCCTTCAGCCACGCTCAGAGATTGAACAGATTAAAGTGAGCCCATAAAACCCCTCAGCCTCAACAACATCCCAGCATGGACAAGGCCAGCTGGGACCCAGGCACAAAGCAGTGGGTGCCATGCGTGGCCAGGGCGTGCTCTCCTTGTCATGCCCGGCTTCCTCACCTGGCGCCTGCACCTGCTGCCTGCTGTTGCCTGCTGCTGCCTGCTGTTCCCAGGACCCAGATGGCAGGAAGATATGGCAGAGATAATGGTTAGATTTGCAGCCCAAGCAGTGTTCCCCCCACCACTACTGTGACCTCTCGAAACAGTAAGTCTCCCGGAACTTGACCTTGCTGGGAACACACGAGTGTGTGCCTCTGGTCCCCAGCACTGGCCATCCCACAGACACAGTGCCAGCACCCACCAGGGGCTCTGAGACTCCTCTGCCACCCCAACCCCATAACCCTGAAGCAACGAAGGCACAAAAGGGACTGGGAATGCTGGTGATAAGAGGAGAGGGATGTCTGCGACCCAAAGCATGGGCTGGGTGAACTCCAAGTGCAACCTGTCTGAGGCCATGACCAAGGCTGGACCCTTCCTACCCCCAGCCCACCCTCCACAGGAACCCCCCAGTGCTGGCAGAAGGGTACTTGTACCTAGAGGTGGCAGGGAGCAGCTGGTGGCCCCCTCCCTCGCCCTTGACCGCCGCCTCCCACCTCCCTCCCGGCACATGCTGTCATGTGGCAGGGCACAACAACAACACGGGCTAATTGGTTAATGTGATTTCAAAACATGATTTGCAATTATAACTCACCAGAGAGCATTCAATGATCCCGCACATTGGAGAGTGGGTTTTTCTCCTTCGTTTGTTCCTGGAACCTCGAAACCAATTAACTTTACAGAAGCCAGAAGCAAAGCACTGCTCAGCAGACCTGAAGGGTGGGTTATCTCTGTGCTCAATCGCCTCCCTGCCAAGCGACAAGCTGGGAAGCAAGGGCCCTAGGACGAGCCCTGGGGTAACCCCGACGCTTCTTCCTACACCACTGTGAGGCTGGGAGAGGGTACTAGATCCCTCAGCTCCTGCAGCCCCCTGTGGGATGCTGGTCACACACAGGCTCCCCCAGCTCCCAGCCATCAAGCACACTGCTGCTTGGAAGCACTTGAGGGCAGGAGGATGCCCTGAGCCCCAAGTGGTGGGGATAAACTGTTCCTATTGGCATAGGGAGACTGTCCCTTCAGTCCCCACCGGAGGGGGTGGCAGCAGCCTATTCAGCTCTGCCACCCAGGCAGGGCAGCCATGTCCCTGCTGTCCCCACTGGCAGCACCCACAGCTCCACCAGGGTCAGAGGCTTTGATTCCATGGGCTGACCATCCTGCAGCAAAGGCTTAAATGCCTTTAAGGTAATTAAGCAAGGACTTAGCAAGGACTTTAATGCCTTTAAATGCAACTCAAATTCCTTTCAAGCCAAACAAACCCAAGTAGCAATGATGCTCCTGAAACATCAGGCCCCCAGTGCCCAGCTCCCCTGAGTACTGGACCATTTACACAGTGTCCCCAGCTGCTGGGCCCTGTTGCTTCCCGCATCCCACTGGAAAGTCAGGCATGGGGCTGGCAGTGTCTTCCCTTGGGTGGGCAAAGAGGTGTTGACTACCACCAGCTGCTGGAGGGATGCTCTGGCAGCTATCCCTCAGGATGGGAAACACTCCCATGTGTACAGGGCCTGAGTCTCTCTGGGCTGGGAGCTGCCTTTCATCAGCCCCCCAAGCCTCAGGCTCCTCCATACCTCAGGGAGCTCTGCATCCCACATTGCAACCACCCAGGCTTCCTGAGGATGGGGAGGGAGCCCAGGCAGCTACCAAAGCCTATGAGGAGGCACAGGCTATGCCAGCAGCACAGAACAGCAGTGCTGGGCTGCCCTACACCCCAAATCCCCTGTGACACCAGGTCCACAGACAAGTCACAGCCAAGATGGGTGCTGACCATTTAGCAGAGCAGTAGCAGGACTCCAGCATGGGCCAGCAGAAGGAAATGTGGGGCAGCGTTGAGGCGGCTCCAGTCCCTGGGAAGGGGGCTCTCCTGTTCAGCTCCAAGCTTCCAGCTGTCAGGAGCGCGGAGCCGGCTGGGAGTCCCCCCAGGGATGCTGGGCTTGCTGCCCAGGGCCTGGGCAGGAGAGTGGCAGATGGCTGGGGAACTGGGGACGAGGGAGCAGGGGAGGACCAGGAACACCTTTCAGCCTAGACAACTGTAGCATCCTTGTTTAGAGATGTAAATAACTGGGCCAAAAATGGAGATGTGGCCACAGCCATGTCCCATTTCTCCCTGGGGGGCCGTGGTTGGTCCAGAGCCAACCAAGGAGCAGATATGGTTCCTGCAGTCCCAGTGAAAGGCAATCTGCTCCCACTCCCCACACAGGCACCAGCAGGGCCATTCTGGGCCCCCACCCTTGCTGGGGTGACTGTCAGACCCAGGGCCAGACATTCCAGCACAGGTTCCTGTCGGGTGTGATCCAGCCACGAGAAGGAGAGGGTATAAAGGCCCTTTCATGGCCCATCAGGGGAAAGACTCAGCAGGAGAAGCACAAAAGGATGTGCTGGTGCTCAGGACTGAGGCTGCCGTGTCCCCCAGCACCAGGGCTCCCGAGCTTCCACAGGGGTGGGATGTGGGGGTGCCCGCCCCAACCAGGGGGTGGCTGGGGAGTGTCGAGTGGCATCATCCAGCCTTGTGTTTGGGTGGACTGAGCCTGGCACTGTTTCAGGCTGGTCAGTGCTGGCATGGTGGCTCTCTCCAGGGTTGGGAAAGCCCCGGGGCAGCTGCCCCTCTCCCTCCCCTCCAAGCTAGCCGACAATTGGCTGCCCAAAGGACGCCGGCCTTGATCTGCATCGCTGGCCATCCCCAGGGCCGAGCAAACAGAGAGGAAAACAGCTCCAGCCGGCTCCTACCACTGCCGGCGTCCAGCCAGCTCCGACACTCCCAGTGCTCCTGTCCCTGGGACCCCCGTCTCATGGCAGACCTGGCAGCACCACCCTGCCCAGTGCTGCCAGGGGACTGATGGTACTGACCTACCTGCCCTGCAGCCAGGAGTGAGCCCAGGGACTGCAGGGGCTGAGCTGGGAGGAGGAAACATGAACTAGGATAAACCCCACTGTGCTGGTGAAGGGATTGCCTGCACTGGGAAAAGTGAGGTCCAGCCAGGGCAGCCCTGAGACCACTGGCCCTGAGTGCATGGCCATCTCTCCTTGCCCAATCGAAGAGTTGGCTTGTCCAGTTCAGGGCTGTTTGCCATGGGGCTGGGCCAGTCCATGGGGCTACAGGCCAGTCCATGGCCGGTCGTTTGGCAGCAGGGGGCCAGCATGTGTCAGGGGCATGCATGTGTCAGCTCTGCCCAGCCACCTCACATGCTCACAGCCCAATTCACTGAAACCCCTTCCCACCAGCAGAGCATGGTGCTTCATGGAAATCCCCCCGCATCCTTCCCAGATCTCCCCTGTCAGAGAGGCGCCTCCGTTCCACCAGATGCCGGGGAAATGCCAGAGGCCAGCTCCAGTCTCAGTCCTCCTCAGCACATCCCATGCCACCCGAAGTCCCTATAGCCTGCTCCATGACACTCGCAGGAGCCCCACCCTGCCTGTGACCAGCAGGGCCCCCCTGCCACCAGCACTGGGCTTGGTGGGATGAAGAAAGCACAGACGTGGGCAGTGATGGGTATGGGGGCACCGGTGGCCATGGCGGCACAATGGAGGCACCATGGCCAGGGTGGGCTCCCAGCTGCCCTCCCGGCACTGCTGCAGTCCCTCGGGAGGTCAGGCCATGGGTGCCAAGGCACGGGCAGCACCTCCAGCTCCGCCGGTTCTGCCCAGAGCGCTGCCCGCTCCCGCTCTGCCGCCGGCAAGGTCAGCGCGGTGCCACGGCAGCGCCAGCCCCCGCCGTCCCTCCGCCGGCCGCTCCCAGTTCCCGCCGGCTGCAGGGACGGGGACGGCGCCGGTGACCCCACACCACCCACGCGGGACATCGCCGTACCGTGACTGTGTGGGCAGGGGCACGGCCGTGGCTGGTGATGCCCCTGCCCGGCACCGCGGCCACGGCCGGGGGAGCACCGGAGAGCCCACGGGGGCACCGTGGGAGAGCGCGGCCAGAGCTGAGCGGCACGGCCCGGACCGGAGCCCCACCGCCCTCTGGCGCCAGCCGGTGGCACTGCCGCTCCCTGCCCGGACCCTGCCTGCCCGCTGACCGCACCCCCTGCCCGCCCCCTGCCTGCCCACCGCCCCCTGCCCATACTCTGCCCAACCACTGCCCGCCCTCTGCCTGCACCCTGCTCGCACTCTGCACCCTGTCGACTCACTGCCCACACCCTGCCCGCACCTTGTCTGCACCCTGCCCAGCCACTGCCTGCACCCTGCCTGCACCCAGCCTGGCCTCACTAGAGCTCCCTTAGCACCCGCCACCATGTCACACCCATATGACCCCAGGCCTGTGTCCCCCCAAGCCCTCTCCCTTCACTTGCACCCCAGCACTCTGCCTGCCCCTTCATGGGACAGCCCCAGTCCCTCTCAGTCTGTCCAGTGGGAAGTGGTGGCTGTGCTGCCTGGCACCTCTCCCGTGGGGGTCGCCTGCACCCCAAGGCTTCCATCCACCCCAGTGCTTCTCATGGAGCTCAGCACTCTGAGGTGCCCTGTGGCTTCCCATGGCACTACATGGCACAGCACAGCAATCCACACAGCATCAGCTCTGGGACATCATGGCAAGAGCCCGGCTCTGTGGTGGCACTGGCATCCCGGAATTGTGTGTTCCATCCCCTTTCCTCCTGCATGGGCACAGCTGCCAGGAGGGAGGCTTGGGCCTGGGACAGTGCTGGCAGAGTCCCCAGCTGCCCCAAGACCACCCCACAGCAGGAGTGGCTCAGCTGGTGCCAGCTGCTCGGGCATGGATCCTTATGGCTGGATGCTCTGCAGCCTCTGGCACAGCCATGTCAGCACCTGGCCACTGCCACAGCAGAAAAAAGCATTCCCTTGCCTTCAGATGGAATTTCCTGTTTGTTTTTTTTTTATTAAAATGGTGCCCATTGCCTCCCATGCTGGCAGACACCACTGAGCAGAGCCTGGTTCCCTTGGCTCCCTCACCTCATGCCCTCTTGGAGGGAGGATGGGCTGAGATCAGCAATGGCTTGTGCACATCCCAGCTCAGTGCACTGCCCACTCCATTCCTCCCAGCCAGCATTGGACACCCCAGCATGCCTGGCTACAAGGCAGACCTTCCTTCTCCCTCCTGCTCCAGCTGCGCGGCTCCTACTGGGATAGAGCCACTGAATCTCCAGCTCCTGGCATGCCGGGAAGGCAAGAAGAGCCATGCTGCTCGAATTGCCCAGGCCCAGCTGAGAGCTTGTTACACATTTACCCTGCATTAATGAGGCGGCACGGGCTGCTCGGCCTTCGGACCACAGCGATGCTTCGCAGGCAGCCAGCCGGCCCCAGGGCAGCTATGGGGGTACCACAAGGTGAGTTCCCCTAGAACAGGCAGTGTGGCAGCAGCCACATCCGCTCCCTCCTCCTCCAGCCCTGCTGGGCTGGGTTTTGCAGGAGCAGGTGAGACAAAGGGACAGATGAGGCACTCAAATGTGCACCTTTGCCCTGGCACTCCTCCTGGCAGGAACAGGACCAAGCAGGCAGGGAAGCGTCCTTGGGGACAGTGGAATGTTTTGCAAATGTGATCGGGGATCCAGGGCTTGCTCGCACCTCTCCTGCCCTCCCAGTGCAGGCGGAGGAGGGGGCGGCACCCCAGGGAGCCCCGGGGTCCCGAGGGGCTGTCCCTGAGCAGCCAGCCAGGTCGCTGGGTGCACAGAGAGGACACGCAGCACAGTTGTCTTTTGTTGGTGCCGGCCCCGGGAGCTGAGACCGGGGCTTTGCGTCCCCTCCCTCCACCCCCGCCGCTGGCGGGACTGGCGCCCAGTACCGGGGATTTGGGGTTTAAAGAGCAGGCGGCTGTCACAACCCCAGCTTACCCACCGGGCAAGGAGGCAGGCGAGCTCCGGCAGAGCCCACACACCATAGCAGGTGAGATTGCGGATTTGGGGTACCAGGCTGACCCACCGAGAAGGGCCATGGGATTGGGGGACTGAGGCCATGTAGATCCCTGGGGAGTGGTGAGGTCCCTGCCTCCTCTCAGTGTGTGCTGCATGCCAGTGGGTTTGAAAACGGTTCCTGGAAGGAAGTGGAGGCATCGCTGGGCACGTGACACCTCCTTATCTCTGTCACTCCACAGATGAGTAGGGACTCTTAAGCCCTGTCCCATCTGGGGTGGCTGGGATGAGCACCGCCGTGTTGGGAGGTTTCCCAAGCAATGCCTCTTGGTTTATAGGAAAAGGGGTTTCACCCAGTGCATTTCCACCTGTGGCTCTTTCACTGTGCTCACTGGCTCAGTCACAGGCAGAGCTTGCCCTGGCTGGCACCTGGGTGAGGTCTCTGGCGATCGGGAAAGGGGGGATCCTGAAGCTGGGCATGGGGCAGGGCAGGAACGGGAGCTGGGCCAGCAGACAAGGCCCTATTGTGCCGTGCTGGGGCCGCTGGCTCACCCGTCAATAGCCCCATTATGCTCGGCGGCGGCCCCCGCAGCCTTCCCAGCCGGCACAGCCCCGCGGGAGCGCTGTGGGAGGTGATCTGAAGTGGCTGTTGTTTTGGGGGGCCAGGGTGAGAGGAGAAGGGTGAGAGGAGAGGGCACAGTGCCAGGACTCTTCTGCCACTACCTGGCTGGGTGCTGATGGGTGCCATGAGATGCTGTGCTTCCCGGTGCCACAGGCTTTGGGGGCAAGAAGCCCAGGACGGGGAGCAGGCAGGCTTGAGGGGTAGATGGACATACCTATCCTCACTCCCCTGCCCTCACCATCCCATCAGACAATGCCTGTGCCCAAGGTGGCCATGGCTGTACTGCATTGCCTCGGGGCAGGGATGAGCAAGTGGGCATCAAGGGGCTGACATCAGCCCCGGGTGTGGATGCAGCTGGGCCAGCAGGAGCAGATGAATGGTCCTGGATGTTTCTCAGCTGGACACGCCCTGGCTAAAATTACTTGTGCCGTGGCAGGGACACTAGCCTATTTTTAAAGCTGAAGGAGCTGGATGCCACTGGTCGGTGTGGCGCAGGGCAGGACCGAAGTGGCATGGGCAGGGCAGCAGTCAAGGGGGATCAGCCAGCCTCTCCCCTGCCCTCCCACTGGGATAGGGAGAGGACTGGGTTGGTGGCAGAAACCCTCCATGTCCTGCTCCTGCCCCACTGGTGTAATTTTGAGGAGCTTCAGGCTCAGTGGTTTTCAATGCATGAGACATGGCCCCTCTGCCTGTCCCAGAGCCTGGCTGCCAGCAGACACAAAGCCAAAGGGCAGATGGTCACCCTGGGTCAGTAGGATAGGATCCTGTAACACCAGGATCCCTCTCTTTCCCTAAAAGCCATTGTACTGCACCAGGAGGATGGATGCCTCCTTCTTCATCACCACCCCAAAGGTTCACATGTACCCCACAGCTCGGTCCCACAGCAGGGACATGTGATGACAGCATCCCGGATGTACTCAGGCACTGGGGTGCACTCAACACCCCACATCCCCTGGGGAGCCCAGATCAGCCCAGCACGGGGTTGGGACAATTAAAAAGGGATTATCTGGGCTACACCAGCATGGCACTGCCGGGAGCCGGTACCTAATCCCAGCAGGAATGCACTGGGGCCACAAGGGTCTCTGCTGCTGGGGTCTCACACCAGCATGTTGTGATGGGGGGTGGACATAGGGTCAGGGCGGGTATATCCACAGACAGGGTGTGAGCCTAGAGCTGGTGTCCCCCTGGGACACTGCCACCATTCTGTGCTACGAGGATGCAACTGGCTTGGGCACATTTCTCACTGCCAGCCAAGCCCTAGCACTGACACACTTGGGGCACCACAGGCTCTGTCCCCTACCTGGCACATCTTCCCCCTACACCAGTGATGTGGTGGCCACTTGAAGCCCATGCCATCCCACAGCCCAACACCGTGCCACAGGTGGACTCCCAAAGGAGCCACCACATCTTTAGTGCAGTCATGCTTTTTGGGGTGGCCAAGCCCGGGGGTACCAGCTTAGGTATGGACCTGTGCCCAGGTCATGGGTGCAGGCTTGGGTGAGGATGCCCCTCCATCCTCTTCTCTCTCCTCTCCCACTGACAAGTTGACATTGTCACTGGGAGTGCTGGCAAAGGCTACCCCGCTGTGCAAGCCCATCTCTTGGCTGGGGAATAGTGCTATGCCAAGCCCAGGTGGTACAGGGACGCCTATGGCACCAGTTGGCATGACCCAGCTCACCCTGACCCTTGGGATTTGCCTGTCCCCAGACACAATGGCTCCACCAGGGCAGAGGGTTGCTCCCTAGCCACCAAGGAGATGGGGGGCCACCCTGTAGCACTCCTGGGGAGTCACCCCGCGGGTCCCCACGACATCGCCAGAGCTCTCCTGGTGCGGTACATTCCTCTTTGAGGCACAGGATTTGTCCCCGTGCTGGGGGCTAGTGGATGTCTATCCCTCCATGTGGGCGCTTCAGCAGTCGCTGGTCCTGGTCACCCATTCGATGGCACAGATAACTCCCATGCCCTGCTGGCTCACGCGCTGGCACAGGAAATGCAGGAGCGTTGGCCGTTGCCTGATGCCGTACTGCCCTCGGGAGCCCTGCGGAGGTGGAGAGGAGCCGCTTCCTACCGCAAACACTGCCGGGGGCTGGGGCGGCTGCCGGAGGAGCTACCGATGCTCGCTGGAGCCGGAACCGCCGGGGGAAATTTGGCCGAGGCAGCGATCCCTGGGTGCGGATCTGCCAGCGGCAGGGACGGGATCAAAGAGCGAAGGCGCCAGCACCTGCTTGTGCCGTTGGCGGTGACACCCCCGCGCTGGCAGGGGGCCAGGCCACCGACACCTGGCCGGGACGCCTTTGGCGGGCTGGCAGAGAGTGCAGGGATGAGGGCGGGATGCTGGTGGCGATACCCATTCCAGCTGGGGACCGTCACCCTGCCAGCGCCCAGTGGCTCCGGCGCTTGCCAGGAACACCCGGTGGGGCGGGAAGGGGTGGCCGGTGGCCGACGTGGCGCGTCCCTCCCGCGCCGTTTTTTCCGGGATGGAAGCCCGGCCCTTCTGACGCCTGATGGTTTCTCCAGGCGGAGCCACTGCCAGCAAGGTCCCCGCAGGGCTCCAGGGCTGGGGTGGTGATGACGTCACCTGGCCACCTCGCCACGCGTGCCGGGAGTGGCGGTGGTTGGAAAAGTCCCAGCTGGGTGAAGGGACACTGAGGCACAGTGCTGGCACAGCACAGGAATGTGCCCACTGTGCAGGGCTGGACACGATGTCCCTATCCCCACCATCTCAGCCTGCCATCCTGGGACACTAGGCACAGGGATGTCGTGCCCAGCTGTGTGGGGGTCACTCAGCCCAAAGTCCTGCTGTGGCATCTGGGCAAAGTCTTATGGCAGAGTAACACCTGCCATACTGGTGCCAGTGCTCCCCTGCCATCTGACCCCAGCCCCCTCGCTGTCCCTGACCCCTTGCAGCCCACAAAGCAGAGATGGCACTCAGCACCGCGGCACAGCCAGGACAACAAGTGGCAGTGCTGAGGCAGAGCCTGCCAACATGCACTGGGCCTGGCAGCAGAAGGGTTACTGGCAGTGGGACAGAAGGGCATTGCTCAGGCACCTTGCCTGGCACAGCTCCTCCTGCCTGCGGCTGGCCTGCAGCTGGCCTGCCTGTGCCTGCCTGCATGGCTCCTGCTGCCTACTGAACCCACTGCCTGCTTGTGCCAGCTGTCTGCCAGCACCTGCACCTGACCTGCCTGCACTGACTGCCAGCCCACCTGCACTTGCTGCCTGCTGGCACTCACTGCCTGCACCTGCCTACACCCGCTTCTGCCTGCATGCCTGCCTCCCCACTCACCCTGCCCTGCTTGCACGACTGCTGCCTGCACCCCTGCCTGCTCCTCTGCCTCCCCAGTCATGCTGGACCTGCCTTCCTGGACTCCCACACCCGCGGGTAGGGACAGTCAGGGGCACGGTGAGGACAGGGCAGGTGTGGCCCCCAGGGCAGCCCGGGTTCCCCCCGCGCCGAGCCCTGCCCGCCGAGGCACGCGTGGCCCCGCTGCCGGCACCACTCGGCACTTGCTATTCTTGGCAGCGGTGGCTGGAAAATGGGAGGCAGCGGAGGAATTTTGTTTGCTCCGTGCTGGGCCCCGGCCAGACATCTGGGCTGCAGCTGAATGGGGCGCGGGACTGGCCCCCCACGCTCCCAGTATGGCCCCGGCACCCCCCGGCACGGCCCCCACACCCCACTCCCGAGCAGGCAGCTGCCCCAGGGGGGAGGTAGCCCCGCCACTCCTGTGCTGAGCCACGCGTGTGCTGAGCGTGGCATCCTCAGCTCTGCCCCGGGGACAGCGGGTGCCACCGGGGGTGTCCCTGCCGGTTACACCCCGGGCCGCGTGAGGTGGCAGCACAGCTGTGTGAGTGTGTGAGTGACGGTCAGTGTTCGCACACGGGCGTGTGTGTTTGTGTGTGTGAGAATGTCCGCGCGTTTGCCCGTGTGTGGATGTTCTCACACGCGTGTGCGTGTCCCTGTGCGCGCCCCCAGCCCCGCCTCGCCCCGCCCCGCGGGGCCGCCCCGCTCCCTCCCGGCGGAGGCGGCGGGCGGGGCCGCGCCGGGCCGAGCCGAGCCGGGACACAGGTGGGTGTCGGGGGCTGGGGAGCGGGCAGGGCACGGGAGTGGCTGAGGGTTGTCCTGTGCCGGGGGTCTCTGCGCTGCCGTCGGGGGGGCTGCCCGGGCTCGTACCAGGGTGCTGGCGGTGGGGTTCGTGTTCTTGCTGGCACCGGAGAACCGGCGGCGGGGCTGGCACGAAGGGTCTCGGGGGCTGGATCTGCAAGGGTTGGCATCGGGCGTCTGTGGTGCTGCCGCTGCTGCCCGCTCCTCCACCCTGCCCTCTGGGACAGCCGGGTCAGTGCCCCGACGGTCCGTGCTCGGGGGTCCCCGTCCGGGGGTTCGCGCCCAGGGGTCTGTCCGGACCGCTTGGCAAGTCTGGGCAGGTGAGAGGCCCCCGGTGCCCCTGCACGGCCCTGGCTGGCGGCAGCCGTCGGGGCTGGCAGAGCCCGGTGGGTCCCGCGGCTCGTCCCGGCGCCTCTGTAAATGCCATTAGCGCCGGCCTCCTTCGCTCCGGGACACCGGGCAGCCAGAGCCGGCACTGCGCCCGGCCGGGCCCTGCTCGCTGCCTGCTGCCCACTGCCTGCTGCCCGCTGCCTGCCCCGGGCTCACCCCCACCTGCCAGCCCAGACGGGGCTGCCCCTGCCTGCAGGAACTGTGCAGGCAGCAGCAGATGTGCCCGACCCATGCCGGGCACTGCTCTGCATGTGTGACCCTCCAGGCTGGCACCCACGGGTGCCCAGGTCAGGCTGTGCCTGAGCAGGGTGGCAGAGCCTGGAGTGATTGCACTGTGTCCCGGTGCTGCAGTGGGGCCTTGGTTGTCACGCGGTGTCCTAGTGAGGCCCCGGTGGTGTGCCATGAGTGAAATCCACAGGGACTGATGATCAGCGTAGCCCAGCTTGTGCCTCGCATGCAGCACAGGGAAGTGCTGCAGCATGGCCAGGGGGCAAGGTGGGATCCGTGTTTTTTTGGCACAGTTCGTGCTCTGATAACCATCACCTCCCACTCCCCAGGGGAGAACGTGCTACTGCTGGAGCCAGAGAAACGCTTCCCTACCCTGTGGTGGGCACCCATCAGGGTGGCGGGCACACCAGCATGGGCCCCTCTGGGGATTGTGGACACCCACTTAGCCAGAGCCCCCCAAACCCTGCTCCAATTCACAGGGTGGTACAAGGAGGGACAGGGACCAATGGTGGGGGCTGTAGCAGTGGGGAAAAGTGAGGCATGGGACCCCGTGATTCCCATATGGACAGCTTGTCCAGTGCTTAGGAGCCCACTGACCGCCCAGGTTGCCCTGTCTGATTGTCACCACTTGGTGCATGCTCTGTCCTTGTCCCCATTCCTATAGGACAGCTCTGTGCTTGCCGGCAGGAATGGGCAGAGCCCAGCAGCCTCCTGCCGACAGGCTCAGGCAGGCATGGGGAGGGCTGGATGCTGCTCAGCTGGGCTGCCTCAGTTTCCTAAGGGGTAGGAGCAGGAGAACTATTCCCAGAGCCCATTAGTTTTGGGGTTGGATTAATAAGGGCTTAAAGACACGAAGGGATGTGGCTGGCTCATGTTCCCTCCAATCACTAGGTCGAGCCCAGTGGGGGCTCCCCTCGTGCCATGCCTGGGGTTGCCCTGTGCCGATGCTCGGGACTCTCCAGATACCATCAGCAGCATCGGAGAGGGATCGTGGTCTGGGGACAGCGGGGAGGGGGCTGTAACCCGAGCTGAGGTCTTGTTTCTCTGCCCCAGCCGCAGCGCCACCATCCAGACCCCGGCCATGAGCCGCACAATGATCCTGCTTCTGCTCCTGCTGCGCGGCCTCACCGCCGGCCACCCCCCGCCCGCTGCCACCCCCCGCCTCAAGCTGACCTTTCCCGGTGAGCGTGGGACACGGGCAGGGTGGGGGGACGTGGGGTCAGGTGCAGGGCCACCGGTTCCGTGTCAGCAGCACCCAGCATCATCCCGAGGGACGGGAGCATCTGGGGGGGGCAGCGTGGTGGGAGGGGTATGAAACACCAGCACGGATGCCTTCCCGGCACTGCTGCCGCTCTCCCCGGCGGGCTACCATATATTGGTATTGGCTGCCACATTCCTTGCCTGATGCCAGCTCCTCCAGGGCCACCTGCATGCCCCTGGGGCCATGCCTGCACTTGAGACCTCACTCCCGGCCCCCCAGCACGTGGCAGCTCAGGTGCCCCTACCCCTACATGTACCGTGGTGGCACTCCCTAGCCACAGCTGTGCCATGCCTGGTGAGAACACCACGCCGGCAGTAGAGCTGGTGCCGTGTCCTGACTGGCCACTCCGTGGGCTCCGGCACGGCACAGGGGGCTTTGTCCAGCGGCGGGTCCCAGCAAGAGCTCTCCTCCCAGCCTGACAAAGGGCTGTTTGTTCCCGCTGTGGTGGGATTAGCTCCGCAGGGCAGGGAATGGCCCCTTCTCCCCCACCGCCTGCTGCCAGGTGGGCGGTGCAGGGATGGGTACTGGGAGCATGGGGATGGGTGTCAGGGGACACAGGGATGGGTGTTGGACTGGCGTGGGGATGGGTGCTGGACCAACTCAGGCTTGGTGAAGCTGGTCAAGCCAGTGGGACAGGTTTGGGGGAGGGGATGGCCATGGCCTGACCCAGGTCACTCTGGAGCGTGTATCCAGGGCAGGGGAAGGGGCCGGGCGGTGGCGGGGCTGGGCTGATCCGTGCCGGTGGGTCCCGGCAGAGCTGCGGGCTCGCCATGGGCTGCGCCTCTTCTCGCTTGAGCGCTCATGCTGCTATGAGGCCCTGCTGCTGGATGAGGAGCGTGGCCGCCTCTTCGCCGGTGCCCAAAACCACCTCCTCTCCCTGGCCCTGGATGACATCAACCAGCGGAATAGGAAGGTAATAGTGGGGGAGATGCTGGCGGGGCAGCCTGGGGGATACTGGGGGCTGTGAGCATCCCCTTTTCCACCTGCAGATCTACTGGCCGGCTCCAGTGGAGTGGAGGGAAGAATGCAACTGGGCTGGCAAGGACATCACCGTGAGTGCCGGGAGGTGTTATGGGGTGCCAGGGGCCTGCCTCAGCACCACCTCACCCCCTGTGCCCTCCATCCCCAGACTGAGTGCATGAACTTTGTGAAGATCCTGCATCCCTACAACCGGACCCACCTGTACGCCTGCGGCACCGGCGCCTTCCACCCCGTCTGTGCCTTTGTGGAGGCTGGCCAGCATGCAGAAGTGAGCCCCCCCCAGCACTGCCATGGGCCCTGGCTGCTGCCACCTGCCCACCTCCCATCCTTACCCCTCTCCAGGAGCCCATCTTCAAGTTAGACCCACGCCACACTGAGGATGGCAAGGGGAAGAGCCCGTACGACCCCCGGCACACAGCCGCCTCCGTCCTCGTGGGTAAGGGAGAGCCGAGCCCAGTGTTGGGTGCAGTGTGGCAGGGTGGTGCCGAGGGGTCCCCTGTAATGCTTCCCTCGGTGCCTGCCAGGCGAGGAGCTCTACTCTGGGGTGGCCACCGATCTGATGGGCCGTGACTTTACCATCTTCCGCAGCCTGGGCCGGCGTCCCTCCATCCGCACAGAGCAGCATGATTCCCGCTGGCTCAACGGTCAGTGCTGGGGAGTGGGAGGGTGGCAGGGGGTCCACCGACACCCCAGCACGGTGTTGCTGCTCCCTGGAGGCATCAGGGCAATGATTTCTCCAGGCTCTGCTGTACCCTGTCCTCCCATGCCTCCAGAGGGTGATTTCAGGAGTCTCTGTGTCCCTTGCAGAGCCCTGATGTCTGGTGGGGTCCCATCCTCACTCTGCCTCTGCCCAGCAGCTGGGCAGGGTTGGTTCTGCAGCCTCATGGGACCCCAACAGGTGTCCCTGGGGAGCAGAGATAGTGAAGGCATTGGAGGCATCACCCCTCTGTCCCCAGAGCCCAAGTTCGTGGCCGTTTTTTGGGTGCCAGAGAGTGAAGACCCCGACGATGACAAGATCTACTTCTTCTTCCGTGAGACAGCGGTTGAGCGGCAGCAGGGGCTGGGCAAGACCAGCTTTGCCCGTATCGGCCAGATCTGCCGGGTGAGGGCATCTGTGGGCGGGTGGGCTGGGGGCCGAGGAGCCCGGGGGTGCCACCTGCTGCTGCTGACACTGGTGCCCTCCTTTCCCTGGCAGAATGACATGGGTGGGCAGCGCAGCTTGGTGAACAAGTGGACAACCTTCCTGAAGGCTCGGCTTGTCTGTGCCGTGCCAGGACCCGATGGGGCAGACACTCACTTCAATGAGCTCCGTGAGTGCAGAGGGATGCAGCCCTTCAGGGTAGCTGTGGGCATTGCTGGCATATTGGGGCAGCACTGATGCCTTCCCTGCTTGCAGGGGACGTTTTCCTGCTGCAGACAAGGGACAAGCGGAACCCCCTTGTCTACGCCATCTTCTCCACATCCAGGTCAAGCCCCCTCCCCACCACTCTGCTCATACCCAGTGGTGCCCCCCTTGCCCCCTCACATCACCCCCTCTCTCTCCCACCAGCTCTGTTTTCCAGGGCTCGGCTGTCTGTGTCTACACCATGGCCGACATCCGCCGGGCTTTCCTGGGCCCCTTTGCACACAAGGAAGGTCCCAACTACCAGTGGGTGTCGTACCAGGGGCGTGTGCCATACCCCCGCCCAGGCATGGTATGTGGTATGGGGGTATCCTGGCTGGTGCCAGCAGTGGGATGCCACTAGCTGGGGTGCGGTCATTGGGGTGTGAGACCCTGCTTAGCCATTGCTGTCTCTCCACAGTGCCCCAGCAAAACCTTTGGCACCTTCGGCTCCACCAAGGACTTCCCAGATGAGGTGATCCAGTTTGCTCGGCATCACCCACTGATGTACAACCCTGTGTTGCCCCACGGCCAGCGCCCCCTCTTCCTGCAAGCTGCAGTGCCCTACACCTTCACCCGCATCGCCGTGGACCGTGTCACCGCTGCTGATGGCCACTACGATGTCCTCTTCATTGGCACAGGTATGTGGTGACCCCAGAGCTGAGGCAGTGGGGGAGAGCAGGGGGATGCTAATGCCGGGACACAGGCTCACCCCTCCCTGCCCACAGATGTGGGCACGGTGCTGAAGGTGGTCTCAGTGCCCAAGGAGAGCTGGCACCACATGGAGCCACTGCTGCTGGAGGAGCTGCAGGTCTTCCAGGTGAGAGGCAGGCTCTGCATCCCCCCAGTCAGACCTTCCCCCGGCACTCCCTTGTGCTGCCCATGCTCTGGGTTGTGCCAGGGCAGTCCAGCTGCCAGGACATGGGAGCCAGGAGCCGGCAGGCCAAGTCTCCCACACGCACCCTTAACTCCTGCCTGTGCTCTGCCCTCAGGATGCCTCCCCCATCACCAGCTTGCAGCTCTCCTCCAAGCGGGTAAGGGGGGACCCCAGAGTGTCCCCGTGTCCCACTATGGCTCTGCCTAGCCCCGTGCCGTGGCATGGGGGTGCTCAGCTCTGCTCTCCCCCCAGCATCAGCTCTACGCTGGCTCCACCACAGCACTGGCCCAGCTGCCCCTGCACCGCTGCGGTGCCTATGGCAAAGCCTGTGCCGAGTGCTGCCTGGCCCGGGACCCATATTGCGCCTGGGACGGCACCACCTGCACCCGCTATGTGCCCAATACGAAGAGGTAGGTGACATGCCAGTGTGTTGTGCTAGGGCAGCCAGTCTGCCCTGAGGCCAGAGTGAGGGGCACAGGTCACGCTGCCGCAGCCCCTGCTCCTGCACCACCTTCCCACAGGCGCTTCCGCCGGCAGGACGTCCGCAACGGTGACCCCAACGTGCTCTGCTCTGAAGGTGAGCTGGGACCCAGACAGAGGTTGGGGTCAACCCTGCTGTGGTGGGGGATTGACATCCAGGCCATGTCCCCCCAGACCCCCGGCGGGGCAGTGTGCCCCAGAAGCAGCTCTACGGGGTGGAGGGCAGCACCGCTTTCCTGGAGTGCGTCCCCAAATCCCTGCAAGCCCGCGTCCTCTGGACATACCAGCGCACCCTGGATGACCCCCAGCGAGAGGTAGGCTCTCCCTGGCCAGGTTCTACCGGCAGGGCTGTGCCATGCTCTGCCATGCCAAGCTGACTGCCCATCCCCACGGGTGCTGCAGGTGCAGATGGACGAGCGGGTGGTGCGGATGGAGCGGGGTGTGCTGCTGCGCAGCGTGCAGCGCGCCGACGCCGGCCTCTACCTCTGCCACGCCACCGAGCACGGCTTCACCCAGCCCCTGCTGCGGCTCTCGCTGGAGGTGATCAGTGCCTGGCAGGCTGCGGGCATGGCACCTGCTGGAGACCCCCAGCTCACCGCCGGGGCTCCCGGCCGCAAGGTCTGGTACCAGGACTTCCTCCAGCTGGTGGAGCGCCCACCACTGGGAGCCACAGACAAGGTCTGCCAGAGGCTCCGGAGCCGGGGAAGACCCCCACCTCCGCCCCGCACCCACGCCGGACCCCCTGGCCGTGGGCAGGGTGAGGAGCCACGCAAAGCCCGCCGCCGGCGCACCCATGAGGGGCCGCGGGCTGAGCGTGGCCCCCGCAGCGCATCCCCCTGGTGACCCGGGGGTCGGCCCCGGGCACCAGGCTCTGCCTAAGAGCGGGGCCGCAGGTGGGGCACAGCCTCGACTGCCCTACCAGCAGCACTGTGTGGGCAGTGGCGGGGGGTTGAAGCTCCGGGGCCACAGGAGGGCAGCCGAGATGAACAGCTCCCTGAGGGGCTGCCGATTGCCCTTGCCACCGGCTCCAGCACCGGTGGGGACCCAGCCGGCTGCCGGCATCGCAGAGTCACCAAAATATTTATTAACGACTGTTACGATGAATGTAAACCTGCAGGGCCAGACAGTGCCCCCCCAGCATCGCACTGCAGGGGGACAGCACAGCAGGTTCACCCTTGGGTCCCAAGGGGGCTGCATGCGGGAGTGGGACCATGGAGGGGCAGGACAGGCGCTGGTGGGACACAGGGGCCCAGCAGGAGGAGGGGGGTGTAAAGGGGAGATGTGGAGGTGCATAAAGGTGGCATCCACTGCCCTGGGTGCAGAGTAGTGGCACAGGGGACCTTGTACTAATTGAGCACAATAAAGCAGAGATTCAGCCCAGGGTCTCGTGTCTGCCCCAGAGCCCCAGGAAGCACTTGGTGGGGCAGTCTGGTGCCCCACAGTGGGGACCCCCCAGCATTGATCCAAGAGGCGAGGTGTTCAGCAGCTCCTGGAGGGCTGGGGTAGCCAAGACTTGCAGGAACATCGTCAAGTTTGATGGGGTCCTCCCAGGCTTCCAGGTTCCCATGCTTTCAGTTCCACTTTCATTTCTGGGAGATGAAAACCGAAGCCTCCCCAGTGCCAACAGGCAGCAATTAAGGCAGTGACCAAAGGTGACTTCAGAGTCTGGTGTCTGCAGTGGTATCAGGACCCCTGGTGGCACTGGCCACATCCCATTGCCTCTGGTGACACCGTGCCACCAGCATGAGCCATGTCCCAGCACAGGCTGCACCTCAGCCCAGACACTTGAGCCCCCTGCATGGGCACAGGCAGGCACTGGTGAAGGCAGGAGCAGGCAGAGATGAGGCAGAGGATAGCGCTAATTTTTTCTCCTGTGGTCCAGCTAACAGCAGGCTGGTACCCCTGACCCCACCAGGCACCCTGGATTTGGGCAGCACTGCTGCTCTGCACCCGTGTGTCCCTGTGCCATCCGAGCAGCTGGTGGCATTGAAGTTGCCCCTCATCCCAATGGGGATGGGTGACCCCAACCCCTTGACCACCCCATGTGACACTTGACACTGTCCCCAACCAAGCAAGCAGCTACCAAGGATCCATCAAGGCATTTATTTCTACTGACAGGGTACACAGAGGCATGGGCTGGTGCTGAGGGCAATGCTCAGGAGGGCAAGCAGGCAGGGAACTGGGGATGCTGGGGGCCTGCACCCCCCCGGAGCCGCAGGGACAGGTGGATGGTGGTCTTGGGCTGAACATTGTAATGTGCCAGTGTGTGCCGGTCCTCCATCTCCCTGGTGTTATAGATGAGGTACTGCTGGTCAGCAGAAGGCCCCTGCCGGCTCTGGATCTGCTCCTTCAGCTTCCGGACAGTGTCGGTGGGCAGCACCGTGTAGGTAATGCTGCGGTTCTTATCACCCTGCACGAAGACCTCCATCTCCTGGGGCTCGATCTGCAGCAGCACCAGCTTGGTGCTGTAGAAGATGCCATACGCGGCCAGGGTCTTGCTATCCTGTAGGTTGATGTTGTTCCTACCTGGCTCCTGCTGTGCCAAGTTCTGCCTGTAAAAGGGGATGCCCCACTTCTGCTGGATCTCCTCCTTCACCTTCCCGATGGTGTCATAGGGGCTGATGGTCAAGCTCAGTCTGGTGCCCGACAGCTGCCTCACCTCAATGTTCACGCGCCGGGTCGGCTGCAGGGACAGGAGAGTGGGTTGGCAAAGCCAGCAGGGGCAGGGATGGGGGACCATGATGCCCACAGACTCAGGCAGCCTTACCTGCACCTCCCAGGGCTGGATATCCGCAAGGCAGGGCAGTGAGCTGCAGCTGCTGGCAGCTGCCCGCGCCATCAGGCCCCAGTTCTTGCCTTGGCCCAGGATCCCCGTGGGGTCAGCAGGGTCCAGAATAACAGGGCTACAAACACAAAGAGTGGGCACTGCTGTCAGCCCTGGGCAGTGCCATGGGGCCAATGGCACAGGTACCATAAGACACAGTCCTCACCGGTCACTGCTCAGCAACCCCTTGACATGGTCACCAATCTTGCTGTCCTTGAGCGAGTAGTACTTCTCCCAGTAGATGCAGATGTCCTGGTACCGGCACAGCAGCTTCAGCACTGTAAGGAAGCCTTGAGCCATGACAAAGGAGTCGCAGGAGCCTGTGCCCTCCTCCCAGGCATAGATGGTCAGCAGCTCCAGGGCATACTTGGGGGGCAGGTCCGCTTTAGGGTTCTTTAGCTTCAGCTAGGGAAAAGACAGGGATGGGTGAGAGCTGGCTGGGGTGGGTGCCTAATGGGAGCTGGGAAAGCTGGGCAGCCCCTCACCTCCTTGTACCAGTACTTGACCAGTCGCAGGAGGTTCTTCGGCTTGGCAGGGAGACGCTTCACAAACTTCTTCTGCAGCTCAGTGAAGCAGGGGGAAAACTCCCCAGGGTGGCCACGGGCATTCAGGAGCTCCACGTACACATCTGTCTTTGGCGGGGCGTCCTCCATTACCTGCCCTGTGGGGCGAGAAGGAGGGTGAGAGCCATCCCATCACTGACACCACTGCCTGGCCCCATGCCAGCCTACAGCACTTACCCAAGGCATCATAGGCAGGCAGAATGTCCACATCAATGGACTCTCCGTTCTCCTTGGAGGAGAGAGTGAGGCTGAGGGAGCGTGGTGCATTGTCAGGACCCTTGTAACGGGGTTCACTAATGCACACGGTGAACTGCAAGTTCTTCCTGCAAAATAAGGCAATCAGCCTTATTTTGATCAAATCCAGCATATCCTTTCTCTTCTCCTTCTGCTTTTGGTAGCTGGATAAGCAGCTGAGGAAGAGCACCACATCAGCATCAGAGTTGTTCTTCAGGGCCGTGCCCTTGCCCGCTGAGCCACCCTGCAGAGAGACATCCTGCCTGCTCAGCACCGCTGCCCCTCAGCACTGGGATCGCCTGCCACCATTCCTGGAACTGCCAAGGGAAACTGAGGCAGGGCAGGAGCTGGAGCAGCAGGACAGAGGGAAGGGCAGCAGCAGAGGTGCCAGCTAGCCCCTGAGCAGGGCAGCACTCACCTTGACTGTCTTGTTGACATGGATTTCGGTCCCAAAGCAGTCCTCCTTCAAGAAGTCGCAGATCCGCCTCACTGTCTGCTTCACCTGCATGGAGAAAGCTGTGCTGGGCTCCAGGTTCTGCGCGATCCAGCCATCCAGGTTTCTGGCAGACACCGTTCTCAGTTCGTTCATGAATGACACCTGGCCCACACTCATGTTGCCAGGTGTACTCGCTCCTGTTGCTCTCTACCGACTTGCTGCCTCCTATGTCCACTCCTGCCTTCACTTATCTGCCTCCCACAGCCTGCTCTTATCTGCAGCAGCTTTTAAAGCTCCCCAGGCCACCGCCCCTATGCCGTCACCACTGGGAACTTAAGGTGGTCCAGGGTCCTGCCGACGGGGTCCTCCAGATGTCCGAGTTGCCACCACCGCGGGGGCTCGGAGGGGGGCCAGAGGGGCTGCGCGTCACCCTGACATCCGACAGAGGTGATGATGGCAGCGCAGGTGGCTGCCTGAGGCTGGCTCTGGAACCCTGTAGGACCTCACAGCCCAGGTGCCTGCGGTGGCACAGGGGTCTCCCCTGGGTGCCTGGTTGGACAGAGGTCCCACCATTGGGACCCGGTGCCAGCCCGTGCCTGCCTGCACCCATGCCAGGGGCTCAGGTGTCCGGGCTGGGGCACCACCAGTGCCGGGACATGGCTCGTGCTGGCGGCACAGTGTCACCAGGAGTAATGGGACTTGGCTAGTGCCACCAGGGGCCCTGATGTCACCACAGGCAATGGAATGTGTCTGTCAGCAGTGTCAGCAGATGCCCTGGCACCATTGTAGGCAATGAGATGCAGACAGTGCCAGTGCCACCGGGGGTCCTGGAGTCACCCCAAGTAATGGGACATGGCCAATGCCGGCACCACTGGGGGCCCTGGTGTCACTTCTGACAATGAGACATGTCCAGGGACAGTGCTACCGAGGATCCTGGTGTCAACACCGACAGTGGCGCATGGCTGGTGCCAGCATCACCAGGAGTTCTGGTGCCCTCCCTTGCAGTGGGATGCAGCCGGTGCCGGCATCACCGGAGCTCCCAGTGACCCTCGAGCCCGGCAGCGGGAGGCGCAGGCTGGATGTTGCTGCCCGTGCTGCCTTAAGCGCCTGAGCCAGGGAATCGGGAGTTTCGATTTCTGTTCCTTCCGCGACTGTAGTTTCGGTTTCTGACTTGTCCTAGCTGGAAACGAAAGTGGAAAGGGCTCCGCGAGTGCCCTCTTGGCCCAAACAAACTAGGGATAGTCAAAACACTCAAACTCATGCCTGGAAACTCGGGGCGGGGTCAGGCGGGGCCAGGAGGACGGGCGGGGGCTGCAGGCAGGGGGACAGTGGGCTTCCGGGAGCTGCGGCTGGCAGAAAGTGAGGAAAAGGGGGATAGGGAACAGGGGCAGGAGCACGAAGGGGCAAGGGATCAGGACACTGGCAGAAGACAGGCAGGGGCTAGGGAGAGGAGACAGTAAGGGACAGGGATAGGGACAAGGATGAGGCAGGGAAGCATCAGCAGCAGGGGCAGGGATATGTGTAAG